TTTTTTTACATATGATTTACAGTTTATTTTAATAAATATCAAATATGTAAAAGGTGTGCATTATAATTGACACCTAGATGAACAGCTTACAGTTATTTTTATGACTGTAATTCATTCTCCTCAAATGCTATTGAGCCTTAAATTTGTGTTTGAGCCCATTCAGTTGTGAAAAAGTAGCATATTTTACATATGATTTACAGTAGATTTGAATAAATATAAAAAATGTGTGCATTATAGTTGACACCTGGATGAACACTTTACAGTTTGTTTTATGACTGTAAGTCATTCTCCTCAAATGCTATTGAGCCTTAAATTTGCGTTTGAGCCCATTCGGTTGTGAAAAAGTAGCATATTTTACATATGATTTACAGTTTATTTTAACAAATATAAAAAATGTAAAAGGTGTGCATTATAGTCGACACCTGGATGAACAGTTTACAGTTTGTTTTATGAATGTAAGTCATTCTCCTCAAATGCTATTGAGCCTTAAATTTGCGGTTGAGCCCATTCGGTACTGAAAAAAATCTTTTTTTTTTTAACAGATGATTTACAGTTTATTTTAATAAATATAAAAAATGTATAAGGTGTACATTGTAGTTGACACCTAAATGAACAGTTTACAGTTGTTTTTATGACTGTACGTCATTCTCCTCAAATGCTATTGAGCTTTAAATTTGCGTTTGAACCCATTCCGTAGTGAAAAGTAGCATTTGTTACATATGATTTACAGTTTATTTGAATAAATATCAAAAATGTAAAAGGTGTGAATTATAGTTGACACCTAGATGAACAGTTTACAGTTGTTTTTATGACTGTAAGTAATTCTGCTCAAATGCTACTGAGCTTTAAATTTGCGTTTGAGCCCATTCGGTACTGAAAAATCGTTTTTTTAAACAAATGATTTACAGTTTATTTTAATAAATATTAAAAATGTATAAGGTGTGCATTGTAGTTGACACCTAAATGAACACTTTACAGTTTTTTTTATTACTGCAAGTCATTCTCCTCAAATGCTATTGACGTTAAAAAAAGTGTATACCAATATCGCATGTAACTTTAGAGACGATCCCTAAATTTGCGAATATCGAACGTCCAACGTCAAGCCAACTTTATGCCAGTTGGGGCTTTTAAAGTGACCGGATTCATGTGACAGCTCTTGTTTACAGTGTTTTTATAAAGCCAAAGTTCAGCCTAACTTCCGGGATCCGGTATGAATGAGATGAATGTGACAGGTGTAAATGCGGACTGAAAATGCTTACAGTCATCGCTCACTGATGAATGCATAATATATAAAGGATTCAAGAAATATTTCAAGGTAAGAACAACTCGAGTCATTCTGACTGAATGATTTTAAAACAGGTCCTGTTGCACAGATGAGCAGGATATGACAAAGTAAACAAATCGATTGTCATTCATATTGTTTTAAATATTGGTGTATTCATTTTTCAGATTGAAAAAAGGACAGAATAACCATACATAATTTACCTGCTTGTAAGCCGAGATCTTCTTTTAAAAAGCAATGGATTCAACAGGTATGTTATCTGGAAGCGTGAATCCCACGAAATCTGTCAAAGCATGTCCGGGTCATACAGACCCCCAAGATATTACAAATTAGAAGAAATTTTACATATAAATATAGTTTATATAAAACGAAGCCCCTTTTAAAACCTTTCAAACTTTTTTTTCTTCCCTCCCTTAATTTGACCTGAAAGTTAAACAGAATTAACCCCACCTCATTATTGTTAAATTCAAAAATATATTGATTTTTATATATAAAATTATGTACAAATATAAAAGAATATTTATATATATATTATATATTTAGTATTTGTTGTAGAAACAAACTTAAAAGTGAAACATTAGCAAAGATAATTGTCCTGAAAATATATCATATATATAATTTGTATGCAAAATATAGTATCTTTTTTTTTAATTAATTTGGTGTGAGATTAACACAAATAATTTTTCTCAAAAGTCAACATTTATTAAATGATGTAACACTAAATTATTTATTAATCTAATAATAAATTTGGAGTCAGTTATAAATATATTTTGTCATGCAGTGTCTACCAAAGGGAAGGAGAGTGTTCAGAAAAGATCTCCTCTAGATCTGATTATGAACCAGCTCCGAAGGAAAGCCTCTTTCACGGAAAGAAAGAAACCGGCTGTGGGCCGCCTCTTCCGCCCATCAGAGAGCAGTGACAAGAGAAATGTAGGCATACCTGAAGTGAAAGAATCAGAGGCCAGTGAGGGAAAGGAAAATAATGAGCCTGGGAAAGGTGGGCATTAGGTGCATTTAGAAGACGTAACTTAATGTAAATATAGATTAACAAACCCTTGTTTTCCTTTAGAGATCAATGACACAGATGATGAGGCCGGCTCTGTTGTGGGCTGGGGTCGGGTGAAGCAGTTTGTTCAGAAGCTTGGGAAAACCCCTCACAGTCAGAATTTGAGCCTGTGCCACTGTGATCTGACAGCTACAGATGTGGTGGAACTAGGTAGGTGTTGTGACATACTTTTTTTCCCTACAGTACAATAATAGACCGTACATGCGTCAGGATCTCCAATGATTGTTTTGACGTTTCCTCAGCCACCTTACTGCCATTTCTGGCTCAGCTGGAGGTGATGGACCTGTCCTGGAATGATCTGGTTGGAGGCTCCCTGAAGGCACTTACTGTCCATCTGCAGCATGTAGGGAAACTGAGAGTGCTGAAGCTGTGTAGCTGCAGATTAACAAATCAAGACCTTACTGCTCTTGGTACAGGAAGTATTCATTTATTCTAATGACTTAAAGGGACAGTTCACCCAAAGATGAAAATTCTGTCATCATACTCTCGATGTCATTCCAAACCTGTAGGCCTATGACATTCTTTCTTCTGCGGAAGACATTTTGAAGAATGTTGGTAACCAAACAGTTTATTATGAATGTTGGTATGATTTCCATTGAGTTTTGGTTCCCAATGACTTCCATTGTATGGTGAAAAATGATGGAAGTCATTGGGAACCAAAGCTCAATGGAAATCATACCAACATTCTTCACAAAAAACACAAAAGAAGATATTTTGAAGAATGTTGATGAGCAAACAGTTTCAGTTCCTATTGACCTCCATTGCATGGTCAAAAAATATACTGGAAGTCAATGGGAACCAAAACTCTGTGGTTAACAGTATCTTCTTTTTTGTTCTGCTGAAGAAAGAAAGACTTATACGTTTGAAATAACATGAGGGTGAGTAAATGATGGCAGAATTTTCATTTTTATTTTAAAAGACCTCACAAAAATGCTAAATTAAGCAACATTTAACACATACATGAGCTAAAAAGCTAAATATACACACGTTTCTTTGGAAAATCATATAAATTTCCAACCTGATTTCTTGAAATTTGTCTAATTTAACATAAAAAAACACTCCTAAAATGATATTCCAGGTGAGGCTCTTGACTGCATTCCTCTAATAGAGGTGCTAGATTTGTCCTGGAATGTTGGCGTCGGTGCAGGAAATTTCAGACACTTCACAGAACACCTCCAACCTGAAAGCACACTGAAAGAACTCCGCCTGGTGGACTGTCAGCTCTCTGAGACAGACATTACAGCTCTGAGTAAGACATGCTTTGTATAAAACTCATATAATGATGGTAATTGAAGTAGAACCTCCAACTACTCCACGGTAGGATTTCATATGACATTGAAGACTATGTTTAATTTTTTGGGGTAGTGGTTAACTATGTACACAAATCCAGCATTTGAGTTAAATTATACATACTTTGATGAAATATAATATCAGTAAAAACTTCTACTTGAGTAAGTTTTGTATTTGCACATTAGACTAATGAGAATTAGAGGGGAAATAAGCATAATTATCATATAAATGTAATGTTAAAATGACAAAAATATTTTGTATTTATTTTATTAAATCTATAATTTATTTTATGCAAAATATAACTAATTACTTTTAAGTTGAAATAACTTTCTTTGCGGGTGTCTACTGCCATTTATTATTTTTTGTTTATTATTCCGACCTGCTCAAAATGCCTATTTAAGGAGCGAGGGGTCTAATGTCAGGTCAGATAAGATATAGAGTTTAAATAGGTTAGAGCTCAGTTTGACATCATAATGAATTATATGAGTCAGCGCAGTCAAACTGAGGAACATATTACGGTTCTTGGCTCATTTTGAGTCAGACTAGACAAGCTTTACTTGAGACTTGCTCTGACCAAATCATTGAATCAGTTGTTAACTGATGCAATCACAAATAAACCACTCAAAGAGGTTTGTGAACTGGTTAAATTAGTTCATTGAAAAGTCGAGTCTTGTTTTTTCTCCCTTCAAAATTACTAGGAATGGCATGTTTTGGTTCTAAAATGTAGTATAGTAAAATATATTATTCTTGTAATCCAGTTTCCACCCCCAAAATGAATAGACTCTGATAAAGCACAGACAGACACTTCAGATACAAGTAACAAAGTAAAAATACTTTAGTCCATCAATGCGTTTGAGTGTATCAACTGGGAATTCAGCTTTAGGTCATTCAGAAGAAGCCTATAATGAGCTGTGAATGGTTATCAATTTTCTTTAAAATGCACTAATTTTTTTTTTCTACAGGTGAGGCTCTTCCCATGTTGTCTAGTTTGGAGGAGTTAGATCTGTCCAATAATAATCTGTCAATCAAGGGAATGGAGAACTTCACCTCCTCTCTAGGCTCAACTCCACAACTGAAGACCCTAAAACTGAGCATGTGTGGACTCAGTAAAGACAGCATCAGTGTTCTGGGTACGAAAGCTACGATAGAAAGTCCTTCAAAATAGACCTTCAATGGCAGACAAACATAACTATAAGCAACACAGCTACAAACTGTGAGCACAGACATTGAATTTCTGCCAGGAAGCTTTTCCGTTATAATTCAGTTTCATTTACTTTCCTTAATAATTTTGGAGAATAATTTAATGAATTTCTTTTGTAAAATGTTAAAAGGACAGGCACTCAGGTCCGTTCCTGCGCTAGAGCACATCAATCTGTCATGTAATAAGGAAGCAGGTGGCGGTCTCACCATGCTGTCCACTAACCTAGCTCTCCTCAGACACCTGAGAAGTTTGGACATGCATCTGTGCTGTCTAACAAAGGAGGATGTGTTGGCTTTAGGTAAGACTAGCTGTCACTGTTCATTTAAAGTTGAAGTGAAGTTGTTTGTATTGTTCTTTTAACTTGCTTTCTCAGTCCAGGTAGCTTCATATCTCAAAGAGCTCAGAGAGCTGGATTTGTCATCCAATAAAAGTGTTGGAGAGACACTCCAGAATCTTCTGCAAACCCTCCCTCTTTCTCAGATAACCAAACTTCCATTAAACAACTGTGCTTTGAGCACACATGCATGCCATGCTCTTGGTATGAAACCAATACAATTTCAAAAGACATTGAATTTCTTTTTAAATGGAGAGATTTTGAAAAAAAATGTGTGTTTCTGGGTTTCCTCACAGCTACCGCAATGCAGATGCTAAAACAGCTTGAAAGTCTGAACTTGTCATGGAACAAGTGTGTGGGGGAAAATCTGAAGCAATTTCTGGAGGCTTTGCCGCCTAATTGCAAACTACAGGAACTCAGACTGAGCAGCTGTAATTTAACCACTGAAGATGTGCTACAACTAGGTCAGTTCTGGTCAAAGAATGTTCAATTAATTACATTAAGGCTGCGATACATGACTACAGTACTTTAAACATCCATCTAATGACACTTTTGCAAACTGTTGTAATCTTGCAGAATCTGCTTGCCAGAGTGGAGTTCTGTCCCATCTGAAACAGCTGGATTTGTCTTATAATGGCAGCGTTGGGGATGGTGGTTGGATGTCTCTTTTTGGGAAGGCTGCTGCTCTAAAGGGACTGGAGGAGCTGGATGTCAGTCTGCGACCTTCTGCATCTCTCTCTGTGTCTCCCTGGCTGCCCGCCTTGTTGGAGGCCCTACCGCAGCTCTCGTCCCTCACCCGTCTGTCTCTGCAGCACTGGGCTCTGAGTTCAGCTGAGATAGAGAAGATGGAAAAAATTCTTCGCAAGAAGAATGTCATCCTGGAATGTGACAGGCTGGCCACATCCACACCAAAGGCAGCAGGTTAATGAGAAGCATTTCAGCCGCTTTGACAATTATGGTTTTCCAAGTTACTGAAGCTGCAAATTGAGATGTTACTGACAATGTGTTGATTGAAAAGCATTCAACCATTACGCACATTCCTTTGACCCATTTTCTTTTTTAAACATGTATTTTTAAAATTTTATATCACACAATTGATCATATAAAAGAGGATGTCTTATAATCAATTTAAAGCATCAGAAATTCAAATTTAACTTGTCAGCATAGGGTTAAAGTAGGGTGACCATACATCCTCTTTTCCCGGACATGTTCTAACCGAGATTCTAAATTGTCTAAAATGTCTTGGTTTTATCATAAACTTTATCATTATTTACTTAGATCTGCGTGAAGATTCATACATTTTCATTTGTGGGTTGAATATCCCTTTAAGTGTTGATTGTTTGCACTACAGTAGAGATTATTCTTGTTGGACAAGTATTTGGATTTACACTTTATATTATTTTATTCATTTGCTTCTTTTCTCATTTACATAAAACAAAAAGATTGTTTTCGACTGAACTTGCTAAATCAAAATCTCTCTGACTTTTATCCGTCCTGCCAAAACTGGGGGAAAATTTGCATGTGACACCCAATACAGCGAAGACTAAGTGTCAGAGCAAATAATTTACATAAATGACGTTTTTCGCAGACATCATGGCAGCCTGTCACATTTCCAAACACTGGACACATGGACATAAAGGCTGTAATCAAAAACACTAACTTTGTGAGTAATTATAATAAATACAAATGTAACCAACTGTGCTGTGGATTATTTTGCTTGCCAGCAACTGAAATATTTCAACAAAAACAACAAAAAGTCACAATCAATTTAAGTCTAAATGTGTCTTACACTGAAGCAGCAACACACACTTTTGGACAAAACCGATAATCATGAATCATGAATGTGAGTCTGGATAGATCTGCAGAGACAATGAATCTGATGCCATCAGGGCCAGAGCTGAATTACTTGAGTCTCCATCTCCCCCATATCTGGATGTCCAATAGTAATGCCTGTGTAAACCATGAGATGCTTCTGCTAAAAAAACATGACCATCCACCTCATAGGGAGAAACATCTGTGTGCTCCTCCAACAGCCGCCCGCTGCTTATCAGCCGGGAGAAAGCCTGATTAAACATGCAGAGAGAACATCTGTTTTCGTACACCAGTTGAATACTGTATTTGATAATTTAGAGATTTGTGGAATCTTACCACGCAAACTGGCTCCTCAAGTTTGTTCCCCCAGATGTAAATGTGTGTGAGACAGGAATTCACTTTCATTGCCTCGTTGAAGGACATAAGACCTTTCTTTCCGATGTTGTTGCTGGTAACAGACAATCTAGGAGGCAAAAACGATGAGATAAGTTGGACAGCATAGACAAGGGAAATAGTTTCACGTATAAACGCGAGATTTTAGACAGATAATAGCATTGTTTTATAAATAAAGTACACTAACGCTTTGAGTTTGCTGTGTGGCAGCTTGATAGCTTCACTTAGATACACCGCACCGTCATCTTCAATGCGATTGGAAGAAAGATCTAGAATCTCCAAAGAGGGATTTTGTTTCAAAACCTCTGATAAGCATTTGGCTCCATCCTTTGTAATTCTGTTACTGTTAAAAAATACAGAAATCATTTCTCTATCTTGTAGTCATACTGTTTATTAATGAATTGAACTAATTTCATAACTGATGAACTTTACAGTTATTGAACTGAACTGAATCAACACTCAACACAATCAACCATTTTAAGCTGAATAATGATACTGTCTTTGTAGAGTTGCTTTGCAGCAGAAATTGAATTTGTCTCATATTTGATGAAGTTTGGATCTGTTATTTTCCTGTTTATTACTGTGAAGCTGCTTTGAAACAATCTGTATTGTATACAGCACTATATAAATGAAGGTGACTTGACTATTTTCTGAGAAGCACAAAAGAACTGTCATGTCTGAGTTGCTCTGTGCCATATAATGCCTTTCACTTTCATTGTATGAAAAACAGCTACGATATTCTGCTATTAAAAACTCCCTTTGCTTTCCACATGAGGGTGAGTAAACAACAGAATTGTCATTTTTTTAGTGTGAACCATCCCTTTAGGATCATGAATTATGAGAATTATGTGAGTGAGTGTATACCAGCGAAGATCCAAGTAGCGTAGAGAGACGTTTAACTTCAGTGCTTCACACAGCCTTTCCACACCAGTATCAGTCATGTCATGCTTTCCCATGTGCAGCTCCCTCAGTGTCTTATTCACCACCAGTATCTGTGCCATATGGACTGTTGTTTCCTCCTATTATTTAAGTTCAATTTACTTTTAACCATTAAAAAAGACTTTTATTTATTTTAATAATAAAGTGGGTATATCAAAGCACAATTTTCCTGAAAACAAACCTGAAGACTGAAAAGAAGAGGTCGGCTAACATTAATAGCACGGATTCTTCTGTTGTTCTTAAGGACGATGGCAAACGCTATTACACTTTGCGTAGCCTAGGAAATAAACACAATACTTTAATTCAAATGTAAATTACCTTTATTTTGTGGTTACATTTATGTTCAAGAAACTTACCAGATCACAGTCTGAGACATCTATTTCTTCTAAAGTAGCATTGATCTGCAACATGGCAGCCAGTTGCAATGCACCTTTGTTTCCAATCTTATTTCCCGTCATTCTGAGCGTCTTCAAACTTTTATTTTTCTGTAAAATTAACAAAGTACATGCTAAAATCATGATAAATATTGCCATTCATTTAAAATGTATAATTAATGTGTGAATGAAGTTTACATTTTAACATTAATTATAAATGTGAATTAGTCACACTTACATGAAGACTTGTTGCTATCACTTCTGCACCATCTGCCTCAATGTTATTACACATCAGATCAAGAGACTGAAGGGACTCACTCTCCTGTTGAAATGACAATATTCCTTTAAAGTCTTAGTTGGCTTAAAAATATAAACCCAAGGAAGCTCATTAATGAGTGTTTAGGAACATTCTGATGGCATACAGTACCTGAATGAGGTGTGCAATATAAACAGCTCCTTTATCTGTGATATTGTTGTATCTAAGATCTAAACCTGCAATTAAGTTTTATTTTCAGTTCATTATGAAATCATATTTTAAAAGTACTTGATTCAGGTATAGGCAACAATGAACTTGTAAATATGTGCAGTGGTTTATGATTTGCATGACCTAAAAGTGTTCTGGGTAGGACGAGTTAATATTCACCCTTTATAGCCGAATTTCCCACGAGTGTTTTTGACAAGACCAGCATATCTTCATCTGTCAATCTGTCTCCATGCTTCAGTTGATCATTACCGGCTAGTTTGAGTGAGGCATCACTGAATTAAACAAAACAACATTAATTCACAATAAACTCGAAACGACTGTTCATACTTTATATATTATATAGTTTCCAAACCAACCTACTAATGTTGTTTTCCAAGACTTCCAAAACACATGTATTTGGAGGCTGCTCAACTTCAGCGCATAGAGATAAATATCGATTCTTCAAGTCCTCCATGTTTCACGCTCTAAGTTGCTATGGTAACAGAAACCAAGTTTGAAGTTGCTAAACCAACATAAGCTGTGTCTCATTTAGAAGGCTGCGCCCTCTGGAGGTCGCATCCTCTGTAGGATGCATATACCTACTAATGTTGCTTTCCAAGACTTCCAAAACACATGTATTTGGAGGCTGCTGAACTTCAGCGCATAGAGATAAATATCGATTCTTCAAGTCCTCCATGTTTCACGCTCTAAGTTGCTATGGTAACAGAAACCAAGTTTGAAGTTGCTAAACCAACATAAGCTGTGTCTCATTTAGAAGGCTGCGCCCTCTGGAGGTCGCATCCTCTGTAGGATGCATATACGAAGTGTCCTCAACCTAGAATTAAACTAGACGGCCTTCGTAGGACAGGCGGAAAAGGAAGCGGGAAGTATCACGTTGCTATGCCAACACATTTAGAGCATCGTTGCGCTCTCACACTACTTAAATGAAGGAAAATTATTTCTAAATTTGGAAAGTAATTTGAAAAACAAAAAACAAAAAACACACTTTTACTTGTTTTATTTTGTTCCCTGTTTGAGGAGCTGCAGCGTACGTACAGCAGACACCTGTTAGAGAAAAAAAGGAGAAGGATATTAAAAACAAAGTTTATCCGTTTTTACCAAGGCGATTTAAGGTAAGTTGTAAACACCACATCTGCGCGTGTGTGTACATCTGCCAGTGCCGGCATTTTTCAAATTAACAACGGTTGTTTACGGCGACGCAAAGAATTGTGCAGCCTTCTAAATGAGACACAGCATAGAGATCATCTGCGCAATGGCGACATCTTCAGGTGGTCTGCGCTATATAATCGCATATACTGTATAGTGCAGTGTTTCCCAACCGTTTTTTAGTCGCGGCACCCTTTGGAAATTTTAACAAAACTTGTGGCACCCTTCAAAATGTATTTTGTCACAATATTTGAATTTCTAACTTCAATATGATAATTTGAAAAGTATAGATATTCGGTACAACAGGGAAAAACTGCAGAATATAATGTCATACAGATATTTTTAATATTATTGAAAAATTTTGTCCACCACGTGAAAGTGAATCCTGAGCGGTAAACTAATTTTCGGCAGCCGAAATTTCGGTGCATCTCTAATTATTGGCGACATCAGAAATGGATATTATATAATAGATGCTTTTTTGAACATTTTAGCAATTTAAAAATATTAAAAAAGGATTTTTACACGGCACCCCGGTTGGGAAACACTGGTATAGTGTATGTATATATATAGAGAGAGAGAGAGAGAGAGAAATGTGGGTAAAGAAACAACAGATATTCTGTCATAGAAAATTGAAATGTATTGAAATGATTTTCTTTGTGAATGTATTACACATACTCAAAATATATGAATGTTATATTCATATATTAAAAATGTGGGTGGGCGGGACAATACTCACCTTTTGCAGAAAGGGCCTTGAAAGTAGTATTGGACCTATAATAATAAAAAACTAGCCACTTGTAATATATATTCAAGTTATATAAATAAAAATAAATGGACTGTTTCTGAATTCAAATTCACAAATACTGTTTGGTAATATGATGAAATCCAGGACAGAAACCTTCCCCTAGTTGAAGAATCACCTGAATATAAAAACTACTACAAGTAATATTGATGGGTACTGAGGAAAATATGCCTGTGGTCTTCACCAGATTGATTTTGTGAATGCATTACCAATAACAAATATTCAGACGTGAGATGATTTATTATAAAAGTTGCCCAGTTTGTTAAAGGATCTAAATGATTTCACATCATATATGAAATTGTTCAGAGACCGGGTCATATAACATTATAGGTATTTACATGTCATACTTCTAAACGACAAACGCATAGTTCAAAATATCAGAATGACCAAGTCAATTGTAATGTATAGCCAACACTGTCCTTTCAATTAAATAGAAAAGTATTTTTAAATGAACCAAAATGCATTTTAAGCACAGCTTTTATATTACAGCTAAACCTGTTAGGCCTTCCCTTCATTTCAGAAAATACTTTGCTTTTAATGATCCAGATTCTGCTCTGAATGTGACACATTTACTTAAGAAAAAAGCAAGAGAGGAGAAGCCCCACACATTCACTCAACAGCTTTGTATAACTGATATCTGCTAAGAGTTCATCATTCAAAAGCTTAGAAAACAAGTTATCTGAAGGGATGTTTATAACAAATTGCTTCCGCACTGGCGTGACTGATCCTACCCTCAGTCTTCACTTAATGGAGAAAATACACTTAAAATGGAAGTAAAAGCTGGTATTTTAATCAATGGTCTGAACGATGACAATCTGCGTGTGCTCCATCTCAGAGTTTCCGGGGATTTCGTACTGTTCCACTACATAGCTCACTTGCTCGCCAGATTCTCCGTGTTGGATGAGAACCGGTGCTTCGGACGAGTCTGCGTGCTGGAAGATCATGGAGGGCTCTGTGCCGTCTGCATGCTGTATGATCATCTGAGGCTCTGCTGACTGTTGGATAATAAGTGAGGTTTCCGGGGGCAAAATTGGCAATGGCGGCTCCATCTGAACTTCATGGTCTTGGGAATCGACAAGGGCGGAGCGCACGCGAGCAATCAGGCCCTGGTGGTCAATGGGGGTGTTGAGAGGACACTGCGTCGGGTCGGTTTCCAAAGGAGCCTGCTCTTGGCTTGGAAGAGCTGTAAAGTATGTTTTAAAATAGATATTTAGATAAATGGATAGATCAACAAAGTTATAAATATACAAATGGTAGAAAGTTTTTGCTGCTTAATATTTTTTGTGTAAATGGTGATAAAAAAAATTTCAAGCTTCTTTGATGAACAGAAAGTTCAAAAGAACAGCATTTATTTGAAACAGAAATGTCTTGTAACATTATAACTGAATTGCTGAATAAAAGTATTTCTTACTTATTCCAAACTTTTGAATGGTGGCGTATCAAGGTTTCCAAAAAATATTAAGCAGCACAACTGTTTAGAGTTCATTGATAAGACGTAATTCTTGAGCAGCCAATCAGCATATTAGAATGGTTTCTGAAGGATCATGCGATACTGAAGACTGGAGTAACAGCTGCTGAAAATTCAGCTTTGTCATCACAGGAATAAATTACATTTTAAAATATTTTAAGATACAATACAATTCTTTTAAATTGGAATGATATTTCACAATATTATTGTTTTGATTAAATAAATTCAGCCTAGGTAAGCCTAAGAGATTTCTTTCTTTAAAAAAAAAAAATCTTAATCATTCCAAACTAGTATTGTTAGAATAAACGCATTAAAATAACACACCGTTATGCTTCAAAATGCTGTGCTTCTTCAAGCTATACATGTCTGAAAACATGTTCCCACACAGGTAACATCTCACTTTTCTCGATCCTACAGGCAAAATGACAGAGAAATAAGTATTATTTGGACATTCTTGCAAGGTTCCCATTTAGAAAATGCATCACTTGCTTTCATTTATTAACTAAATGTACCATTGTGGATGTCCATATGCTTTCGAAGTTCACCAGCGGTTAAGCAAGGTTTTCCGCAATCCAAGCATATATATGGGGTCACACCTAAAATCGAAGGAAAAAAACAACAACATTTTTTTAAACACAGACTCCATGTGGCATTAGTATGTTAGCAAATCGCTACAGAAAAGGTTGAAAGCTGTAGTGAATGCATCACAAACCCACCGGTGTGTTTCCTGGTGTGAGCGATGAGAGAGCTGGACACAGCGAATGCCATGCCGCAGGTGTCGCAGATGTATGGTTTCTCCCCTGTGTGTCGGCGCTTGTGGTACATCAGAGTACTGGCCTGTGTGAAGCGCTTCCCACATTCTCCACATTCATACGGCTTCTCACCGCTGTGCTTCCTGAGAGCACATGGGAAATAATGAGAAGTTAATGGAAAAGTTTATTTTTACAATTCATTATTGATATTTTATAGACATTTTAATGGGAGATTAACAAATATTGCCTTTTTATGACCAGTACTAAACTCATTATTTTTATGTTTAGGTGGCCAAAAATGGATATGGAGAACCAGTATTTAATTATGCTCTTTACAAATTAATAATAGTAATAATAATCAACATAATCCACATTAAAACAATAAATCAGGCTAAAACAAAACATTAGTTATAAATATTTTCCAATAATTATTGTCATCATCATCAACGGTATGACTAATAATAAAATTTAATCCAATATTAAAGAACCAATTAAGTGTGAATTCTAAAAAATATGTTACAGTATAACAATGATAATATTAAATCTAATATTAAAGAACTGATAACCATTTAAGTGTTACTATGGCTACGTTCACACTGCGAGCCTTAGTGCTCAATTCTGATTTTTGCTCAGATCTGATATTTTTGTATAGCTGATCACATTGTTGTTTTAAATGTGGCCAATATCAGATTTCGAGTGTGAACATGGTTCTGAACTGACCCGCATGCGCAGAAAAACAATATGAACAGGGTTGCCAGGTTTTCACAACAAAATCTTCCCAATTGCTTCTCAAAACTAGTACAAAACTAGCCCAATCGCGTTCTGGGACTGTTTACGTTTAACCCACGTAGTTGAAAAACAACCCGCGGCAACAATGAAAAAGTTGCCCAATTCTGTGGGAAAACTGTGGACTTGGCAACACTTTTGCAGCGTTTATTTATAGTGTGATCTGCCGCAGAAGCCAGCGAAATTATGCACAGACAATATGAAAAATAAAGACAAGTATGTGACAGAAGAAAGCAGAGTTTTGAAACTTTTATAATACGAGCCCTCATGTTTTGCTTGTATAGAGTTGTCACAGCAATACTTATGAGTTCTGACACGTTACTGTACTCCACTGACAACCTTTCGCAAATGTCTTGATAGCTTTGGGTATGTAAAAACTTTGAAGTGACTCCCATGAGCGCAGAATCGTGACGAATGTCGACCTAGAGTGACGTAAAAATTCGCATGAATTCCGATATGACTGTTCACACTGCGGTGGAAGTGGCACAAATCGGAATTGAAAAGATCAGATTCCATGTGGTCTGTGCTGTTCACACTGTCATGAGAAAAACAGATCTGAGTCACATGTGAGCAAAAAAAAATCGGATTTGGGCCACATTTGCCTCTAGAGAATCAAAGCCCTTGTGGCAGCACATTCATGTACATGTGTAATTTTATCACTGAAATTAAACTGGAATTATGCTCATGAACTGCATTGCACATACCTTATGTGAATTTTCAGATTGCTCGATGTGGCAAAAGCTGCTCCACAGAAATCACATTTATGTGGCTTTTCTTCTCCGTGATGCATTCGGCAATGATAGACCAGCTGACATTTCTGAGAAAAACATGCCTCGCAAGACGTACAACTGAAGGGCTTCTCTCCTGAAAACAAAATAATACATGAATCACTTCACATAAACCTATCAGCAAAGTTATGGCAATGTACACTACAGTTTGGTGTTATTAAGATTTTAGATTTTTTTTAAAGAAATTAATACTTTTACAGCATGGATGCATTAAATTGATGAAAAGGGACAGGAAACACGTATATAATATCACAAAAAGATTTATATTTCAAATAAATGCTGCTCTTTTAAATTCTATTCAGCAAAGAATCATAAAAAATTGTATCACCGTTTCCGCAAAAATACTAAGCAGCACAATGGCTTTCAACATCGATAGTAATAATAAATGTTCCTTGAGCACAAAATCAACATATTAGAATGATTTCTGAACAATTATGCGACACTGAAGACTGCAGTAACAGCTGCTGAAAATTCAGCTTTGCCATCACAGGAATGAATTACATTTTACAATATATTAAAATAGTAAACAGCTATTTTAAATTGTAATAATATTTCAAAATATTACTGTTTTACTGTATTTTTGTTCGAACAAATGTGGCCTTTAAGAGCATAAGAGACAAAAACATTAAAAAAAAATAATCTAACTTTTGAACAGTAATGTGTGATTAACAAACATTATGGACATATACTATAGTTCCAAATTTTTCGTCATCAAAACTATCAAATAAAAGGCACATTTATTCAAGTGAATAAGTGTATTAATGCAGTGTACCTTCTACACGTGAGAGTCATACCTGTGTGTATGCGCATATGGGTCTTCAGCTGGTTGCCCTGTCTGAAGGAGCGGGTACAGAGCTGGCACTGATAGGGTTTGAGGCCCTTGTGTATGCGCATGTGTCTGCGCAGACTGCTCATCTCTGAGAAGAGGTTCCCGCAGACGTTACAAATAGGCCTGTGTTTGTCCTGCAAGGGCTTCACTTCCTCTTCTCCGGCCCAGTCCTCTTTGTCATTGCCAAATTCTTCATCCTCTACATCGTCTTCTTCCTCATTACTAGCTTGGCTTTCTTTTAGCTTTCTACTCAAGCTTCTTTTCCTGTTGCTGGTGCGGACCTTCTTTGCAGGATTTGACTTTGAATCTTCTGTACATAGAGATGAGCATTCTTCAGTGTGTTTCTCAGCATCTTGGTTTGTTTCTCCACTGGCTTCTTCTCCACTGTTCTCCACCTTATCTGTTGGATTTGAAGATGCAGGTGCCTCAGAAGAAAGAGGTTTGGATCGAGGTCTTCCTCTTTTACGGCCGGTCCCTTCATTCTCTTTTGTCTTTGCAGGTTCTGAACCGTCTTCTGTGTCTGTAGTTGCGTTCTCAGTGTTTGTGGTTTGGTTCTCAGTGGTTAACGGCTTAGTCCGCGGTCTTCCTCTTCCTCGTTTTAAAATACCTCCGTCTGGGTTTTCCACATCAGTCTTTACCTGACCGTCATCTTCCTCCCCAGCATTCACAGAATCTTCTTCAACAACCTCTGTTTCTTGGGCGTCTCCTTGTTCCTCTTCTCCACTGTCTCCTTCTGCACCAGATGCTAGGGGTCTAATTCGTGGACGTCCTCTTTTGTGAGCAGAGCTCTCTTCTTGATCCTTGGTTGCTACAGACTCATCTTCAGCGTTTCCAGAATCATCTCTGTCAGTGGACAGTGGTCTAACCCGTGGACGACCTCTTGGTCTTCCGGTTCCTCTCCCTACTGAGCTGCTATTTGGACTCATGGTTTGCTGCGCTGGAGATTGTTCATTTGAATCAGAAGTCAATGGCCTCACCCGTGGGCGACCTCTCGGTCTCCCCCGACCTCTTCCTCTGCCTCTGTGAGCAGTGATGGTCTCACTCTCAACATCATCCAGCCTAGTTTTGGGTTTCCTCCCTCTCTTGCTGCCGCTTCTCTGCGGTGTCTGTTCACTGGATGACTGGGCTTCATCATCCTGTAACCCATCTTCTTTCTTTTCCCTCAACCGCTCCCGTTCTTCCACCTCTGCGATCGGCTCTAAAGGTTCGTAGTCGTCTGGGCTCAGTGGGGACCTTGGATCTTCGTACTCCGCTTGTCTTGTGGGTGAGCCACCAATTTTTATATCATCTTGAATTAGTGTACAACGAGCCACAACTTCGGGCATCCCAAGATAAGATGCAGCTTTCTGAACACTTTCAATTTCTTCTCTGAGGACAAAAAAAAAGCACAGGAATTTCTAATGTATAATTATATAAATGCCACTATATTTACTATATACACTATATAAATATATATTATTTTTAATCTATAAAAGTAAAGTTTCAGCCAAAATAACATTTAGCAGATTAAATAGTTCATAGCACAGTAAAAATTAAATAGATTATGGTAGAGTAAAAATAAAAATTCATATTTACTACTGAAAAAACAAAACTTTATAAAATGTATTTCAATGACTGCCATGATTTCCAAAATACATTTACATATTATATACATATGAACATTTACATATGCTATATAGTCAAGTAAACACATTTTAAAAAGTCATGGCAATATTTTCAGTAGTGAATATGAACATACAATGAAATATTTAATCAGCTAAATATTTTTTGGCTAAAACAGTATATTCATATATTATCCATATATAAATATTAAATTATGTCTGTCTCTCTCTCTATATATATATATATATATATACACACACACACACACACACTAAATACAAATATGTATATGTATTTATATATATATTTGTTTAAACAAATCCAAGACTTTTAAAATCATGACTAAAAACTATACAAAAATATATATTCTAAAAATATTTCCAGGTGTTAAGGAACAGTACATATAAATATAACACTACATACAGATAACAATAAATGTATAGAATTAGATTTCCATGAACTCACCTGTCCATACTCAAGTCCCCAGTGTAAATGTAAGTCAGTAGTTTTTCAAACACAGCCCCGCTCACCAACTCTGGGTCCAAAGTTATGGTGGCATTCTCCTTTCCGGCATCAATAGACTGCGTAGAGAAATACTCACTAAAAGCTGCCAGAACATTGTGGTGTGCATGATATTGAGACTGTCCTATTGTTACTGTGCAGTCACACAGAAAGCTTCTCTCACGTTGTCTCTTCAGCTGCTCCAGAAGAAACTCACTGTGAGTGATATGTGGCATGTCGTGGAAGAGGAGCAACCTGCAATGTCAAGAACATCTTATAACATCAGCCACTACTGAACATCTTAAAGAGATAGTTCACCCAAAAACAGAAATCCTGCCATTATTATTGATTTGCATTGCAATCATTGCATTGCATTTCCATATAATAAAAGCGGTGAGTTATAGTAATAAAGGTTTGGAACAACATAATGATGAACAACATGAATAAATTATGAAATCATTTCCATTTTGGGTGAACTAGACTTATAATGACCTTATTTTATATGCAACAGCATTGCAAGCAATAAACAAAATAACTAAAATAATTTACTTACCGCACGTAAATTTATAATGGTTTAAACCACACCCAAAAACCTGTTTAAATGAAACAGACATGCATGTAAAAATGAAGAAAGTGTGCATATATAAATTAACCAATAACTCGATATAAAATGAGCGATTCTTTAGACTTGATAACATCAGTTAAGGGAAATAAAAGTTCCCGCCCATTACTCAAAAGTTGGCTGCAATAACGAGCTTGCTGACAAACTATCACCATTAAAGGCCACTCAAAATATTATACAGCACCCAATAATTATAGTCGTAAATATGCACTAAAATAACTAAACGCACTGTTCTCTGAATGGATGCAGAGGGGAATGTTTATAATTTTGACATGCAAAACAAAGGGCTCTTATTTCGAAAATGCTCGATCCGGTAGAGCGCAGGCTCGGTCTATATATTACAAACACAACACCGAGTCGTGCAATAATTATTTTAATTACGTGATTAATAAATATAAAGTTAAATTCGAATTTTTAATAAAAATTCAGGTCTCACGTTATTTCGACAGTAGATTAAAATCGCTTTGCTTTGACGGCCATTTTCGAGGTCTTCAAGGGGATTTGGTCTGTGACGTAATATCCTCCCGTCTGAATTCTTTCCGGTGTTTGAACCTGTTTTTTTTTACAGTCTATGGTTTGAACCAAAAAGACAGCTGTAACCATTAGGTGGAGCCAAACACACAAATGTCCAGGCACATGAATAGACACAAATGTCCAGAAACCTGTGCATTTAAGGACCAGAGTGTAAATGACAGGAGTAACTATACTTCATTACAATACTAAATGTTATTTTGGGAATTTGTACTTTTAAAACTACCTTTAGGTATTTTTATTCAATTACAATTCCAAGGCAAAAGTCATTCTTTTGAAAGATTTCACTTAGAGGTCATTGTGACATTTATCCCCCCTCTTTTTGATCCATTTATTGATCCCAGTTTTAACAGACAGTGACATCCATTTCAGTATATAAACGCACTTCATTTATCCTTGTGAAGAGATCTCATCAATCACAATATTCGATTTCAGATATTGTTCAGTTTGGTAACACTTTACTTGAAGGGGTGTGCATAAGACTGATATGACACCTTCATAATCATGACATGACACATTATTTATGAAATTATTGGATGGTCACTAAGGAATAATCTTTGGGTCTTTTCTACAGATTATAGTCACTAAACAATTCTAAACATCTTCTATTGGACTTTTTACTCTTGATACTATTAATCCCATGTTTAAAAAGACATTAACCTAGGGTTAAAGGTTGTATGAAAAGATCGTTAGTAAATTTGCTTGAATTCTGGGCCGAAGCGACAAGGCACATGTCTCCACAAAGAATTAACCAAGAGTGGTTGGCCTATTAAAGCAGCACTATGTAACTTTTTCTGTGTTCAAAATTTGCTAAATGTGTATAATGAGCGAGTACATCATGAATTCATCTTCCAAACCGCGTTTTTGTCTTATTCCGAATCACTACGGTACACTTATAATAAGTACTTATATTTGGACTATTGTAGCCTGGTCGGGACGTCACCGCTGCGGAGTAACACATACCTGCGTGAATCGCCAGAGACATAAACTTAGAGAAGTAGCTCCGGTTGGAATGTTCTTCCGCGGGATGTGTGCAGTTCTGTTTATTAACCGCTAGAGCGCCTAAAGTTACAAAGTGCTGCTTTAAAGGGGTCATATAATGCTTTTTTAAAGATCATTATTTTGTGTATTTGGTGTAACAGAATATGTTGACATGCTTCTGCTTCAACACTAACTGCGGTTACTGAAACCACGCCTTCTTTCTTTGCGTGAACATTTGGGCGCATTATGCAAATATTTCCACATAGTGACGTAGATATGTGGGGGCGTGTTAGAACCAGCCGTTTTAGGGGGGTGTGGCAGAGTCTTAGCTTTGATAAAGAATATCTCTTTGGTTTTGAGACTTTAGTCTTTGCAACTTCAGGGATCTTATCTATTCACGAACAGCTTGTAACACTCCAAAGAGAAAGGAAAACTTGAAATTGCATCATATGACCCCTTTAATATCAACAATGTGACAGTTAACCAAATGGGCGGAATACTATAAAGGTATTTAATTTTACTTAATAATCAAACTTACGTAACAATATCAGTAAATAATATTTGTTTAATGATAAACAACTGCCTGCTACCATGGTTACCTAAATCACTTTAAAAGGTTATGTCACTCGCTGTCATTTGTTTATTGGACTCAAGAAGGACATCATTTAGTGTCTGGCTGCAGCCCATGGGAAAGTCTGATTGTCAGTTTTATTAATAAAATCTGCTGAATATAATCTTCACAAATAAACTGATTGTATAGTCACCTGAGCCATTTTGTCACTGTTTTAATACTAACGGTCTGGGCCAGTGGAGAAGGGCAAATAAAGAGACCCAATCTTCTGTAACAGCACACACCCTGTCACTGCAATACTGCTCCCATGATATCTATTTACATAATCAGCTGCTTTTTCTTACAACACAATCTCAGTCTGTTACGAGCGTCTCCTCCTCTCTTGTCAGCACACAGTTACTGGACCAGCACACACGCAACACCTTCAGCTCTGCGCTTAACAACAGGTTCATCTGGAACAGGTATCAATTTACTTTGCATTGTTATTAAGTCTGTTTTGTGATATTATACTAAATCATAATTCTATCATCTATTATCATTTTCTGGGTATACTTGTATTGTGTAGCTGTCAGTGTTGGGCTAGTTACTCAAAGAATGTAATATATTGCTCATTACTAGTTACTCAGTTCAAAAGTAATATTGTTACTTTACTTATTACTTTCTGACAAGAGTGATTAGTTACACTACTAGTTACATTACTTTTTCTTCACACCCCACAGTTGTAACTGTCTAACACATAAAATTCTAGTGATTGATGGTGACATTCAAGTAGAAGTGTTGTATTGATCTCATTAATTGTCATGTGTAGCTTGAAGCTAATTGTAATTTCTCCGTTACCCATATACGATTATATTATTATTATGTATTTTATCAAATCACATAAGTTTGTAAGAAACTGTTTAATTTTCCAAAAAGATTTGTAATTATACTAATACAATGTACCACATGCTGATCAGAGGAATGTGGGTGGGATGTAATGCCAGAGTAAAGTAAAGCCATAAATTACACAACAGTGTTCAGATCATCTTTTTTTCCTGACAAAATCAATATAATGCAATATTTCTATCTGTTGAATGTAAGCTTTTCCATATTCCAAGCTTGCCTGCTGCACTGGGGACATCACATTCATGTGCAAGTCATGAAAATTATGAAAATAAATCTAGGAATTACTTGATTGTTGGATTTTAAATCAGCGGCATTTGAGGCATCAAAAGTAACTAAGTAACTAAGCTGTTTTATGTGTGGTAACTGTAATATTATTACTGAAATCTTATTAGTAATTAGTTACACTACTAGTTACTGCAAAAAGTAATATTATTACAGTAACTAAGTTACTAGTTACTGCCCAACACTGGTAGCTGTAGTGTTAGTTGTAACATTTTGGTCTACAAAAATGTACCACCTTAAAAACAAAAACAAAAAAAAAAAGCAGATAACTTCTACTAAACAGTAATGACCCCCCCCCCCCCCAAAC